TAGGACCCTTCATAAATGAAGATCTTACAGCCTGCCTTCAAGGGAGGTAGATAGAAGAGCGACCTCACTATGTTTTATAGCTTTCATTGAAGTGAGTCTTATTTTCTATGACCTGCCCTGAGGAAGAAGAATTCTAATGCCAGGTATGGTGGTGCACACCTGTAATCCCAGTACTTGGGAGGCTGAGGCAGGAGGATCATTGCAAGTTCGAGGCCAGCCTGGGCTACAAAGTGAGCTCAAGTCCAGCCTGAATTGAATAGGGCGACCCTATCTCAAAAAGACCAAAAAAATAAAAATAAAAAAAAAAAAATAATTCTAGTGTCTATGTCATATTTCTGAGAATAAACAAGGCAAAGGAAAGGAACAGGGAGAGTTGTATGTATTTCAAAGCACACAACTTGCCAAAGGGCTGCATTTTTCAGTGCCATGTTCTGAGATCAACCATGGCATAACTGAATTTTTAAAGGTCTTCTTCTAGTTTGACCAGCAAGAGTTAAAGAGCTACTGTATTCTGTAGCCCAGTCCAGCACTCCTAAAATTCCTTGTACAGGAACCATTTTATCTTCTGAATCCTCGGCAGAAATTTTCTCGTAGTGGGTAATCTATCAGTGCTTGCTGAAGACAAATAAATCCGTTCCATCTTCAGGTGACGAAGCTCTGCACACATTTCTCACTGTGACTCACATCTGTGCAGTTGTGAAGAGGCTGTTCTTTTCAGCGATTTCTTTCGCGGCCAGGCTTGTTTGCCAGTTCTTTTGATCTTCCCACAGAGGTCCACTATTTAGAGGATGAGCTACTAATTTATTCGTGTAGGGTTAGTCTCTAAAACAAATTACATGCAAGTGTGAAAACCACAGATAACCTCCCTGGGTATTCTATCTAATTCTTCCAATGATAAAATGTTCCACAAAACCTTCCACTCATCCAATGAAGAAGCCCAGTTTCTAAAGATAATGGCCAAAAATTAGAATTTACCCATTGCCTATCTCATCCTTTCCTTCGTACTAAACAAAACATGTAACTCCTCGAGGAATCAGATTTGTTAAAGAGGAATAAAAATTTGGAAATGTGTATCTTTAACATATATTGCAAAGAATTGGTGGTGAAACGATTATCACCTTAACTATAGAGAAAAGAAGTCTTTATGATTTCTCCCAAATTTTCTATTTAGGTTAAATTATAAATACAAACTGGGCATGGTGGAGCATGCCTGTAATCCCAGCACTCAGGAGGCTGAGGCAGGAGGATCACTGTGAGTTTGAGACCAGCCTGGGCTACAGAGTGAGCTCAAGGCCAGCCTGAACTGCATAGCGAGACCCTGTCTCAAAAAGGAAAAAAAAAAAAAAAAAAGAATCCAGATAGATTCCCACTGGGCATCATAGACTTCATCTTTTAACTGAAACTCTTTCCATTTATTAGGTAAGTATTCATTGAGTATCTACTATGCTAGGACTGAACTATGAAGTGCTAGGATCCTTTCAGGAAATGGGAACAAAGATAAACAAGGTAGACAATAACCTAGTCTTCAGTAACCTAATAGAGAGAAGGCAAAGGCATTTTCAAAAGTAAATACATAAGCATCATCTTATCAAGAATATGATGAACCTTGAAATTAAAAGTACTTATTCCATGACAATGTATACATGAGACAGTAATCTAGAGTACAAGATTGAAGAAGGAATATCTCAAGAAGGAGTTTTAATTGAAGCCTAAACAAGAGATGCCAAGCAAAGAATAGTGAAACAAAGAAGGCACAATTGGGGGCTGGGGATTTAGCTCAGCGGCAAAGCGCCTGCCTGGCAAGCGCAAGGTCGTGAGTTCGGTT